TCATTTTATTTTATTACATATTTGTTTGTATCTTTTTCTTTATATATGGACTATGTCTGAAATAAAACCATAATAATAATATAATAATAATTACTATTATACTACTATGCATTACTATGCTGTTTTTATTTCAATGAAATGTTTAGTATCCGATATTGCTACTAATCCGAAATGTTTAGTATCCGATATATTGCTACTAATCCGATTTTAACCCTTAATGCATTAACGCATTATTATTATTATTACTTTTCAACAATGGTTTCTTCTACCTTTATTATTGCTGTGAGTGGGATATATTACTATTCATGTTTTTTATTTCGATTATTATTATTATTTTTTTTAATCATTACTTTAGTCTTAATGTTTTGTATTATTCTAGTTTTGTTAAGTGTAAATGTAACCATTTTAATTCCTCCTGGGGAATTTTATGTGTTTAATAAAGTATAAGTAGTGGTCTGAGATTGTACATAACGGGTATCGCACAAACCTCCTAAAATTTGTCACGCACTTCTGTAACACGCTTTTAGTCAGGGTTATTTTTCTGTTTGAAAGTTTAATGTACACACAAAATACGAGTCGTAAAATACATGTATAAATTAAGGAAATGCTCGAATGAGGCATAACATCATATGAGCTGATCTGGACATGGTTGTAGAGCGTTATACCACACAGGAAGCTGTAATGGCAGCTTCAGACATTGCTATGCATCACCATACTGCTACCGCACCCTCTTTTTGGCGGTGACAATCTTGTCACAATCAAGAGCACTGATGGCCTGCGGCATTGTGTTGTTTTGCAGTGTATAGAGAACTGCGGTCTAATATTATATCACAAATAAATTTAAATAAATTAGTTGTCCAAATTATTTGTTTTTGCTTCTTTTTCTTTTATTTATTTATTTATTAACACACAACATCCCCCGGAAGGGATGAAAAAGGTTACAAATCAAATATTAGTAAAAAAAAAAATAACTACATAAAAAGTAAGGGAACAAAAAGACATTTAAAAAAGATAAATTTGTATACAAGGAATGTGTTACTGGCTTAGTTTATGTAGGTGCTGCTGTCTTGTAT